GGAAAAGAATCCTACGTTGGGTGAGAATTTGTGTACATTGAAAGCAGTTATTAGTACTTTGTATCTGTATACAGCATGCTTATTTCAAAGCTCAACCTATGTTTACTCATTATTTCAGTTAATTTTCCTGTGAAGAACCTGGAATTAAAGGATTACATTCCCTTGACAACACCAAAGGAAAACGAGAAATTGAGATCTAAGTATGATCTAATAGCCAATGTTGTTCATGATGGCAAACCTGGTGAAGGATTCTACAGAGTATTCGTTCAGCGCAAATCAGAAGAACTATGGTAAGTTCTTGTCCATGACAAAGTGAAAGCAATCTAAATGGCTTTATAATATGATTTTTTCTTTTTTGGATTTGGTGCACAACGTCATTTGTATACTATCCAATAAAAACGTGCCATGTTAAATAATTGTAACTATAAATTGATTTTGTCATTGATTATGGTAGAGGGAGAAAATGTAAGAAATTATAGATGCACTCTTCCAAAAATGAAGTCATTAAAAATAATATCATATAAGATTTTATTTAATTAAACTGATGCAATTTCATTGGATAGAGTATAGATGAGATGGTACTCGTAATCCATGCAAGAATTTCTCTTATATTATAGGTGTCCACTCACAATCAAAAATTGTTTAGGTATGAGATGCAGGATTTGCACGTCTCAGAAACTCTTCCTCAAATGGTTGCACTCTCAGAGGCTTATATGCAGATATATGAGCAGCAGCAGTAACATTGATATATATATATATATATATATATGGTCATTGCCTGGCCACTTGGTTCAGGGTTTTGAAGGTCCTTTGTTAGAATTCCATTCAGAAGATTAAATATCCTAATCCCAGTTTCTGCTTGTTGAAGATGTTCAGACATGAATAGGAACTTCAGCATTAAACTTGTAATTTGAATGCAGTGTTGTTGACTTTTTTGTTGTAAAATCTGTTGCTTAGCTCCTGCTTTTGTAAACTTAGAATTGCACTTGAGCTGATAGTGTGCCTGGGTTACCAGGGAACTAGTTAAATCCATTATAATTTTTTTAGTGGAACATTAATCTGCTCCATGTGGTTTAAATTGTGTAACATAACAAGGTGACATTCAAATTTTTGCAAAAATAAATACATAAATGTTACAACAATCAACATTTTAATTATATCCTTAATATTACATTTGTTTCAAGGTTATTGTTTGGATCGCACTTACATGTGATAGTAACTATTTTTTAAAAATTGTAAAATCTTTTCTTTTGTTAAATATAACGTTGGTTAGGTTTGATGCACAGTAAAAAGCTATAGTAACAGTGAAATGTTATTATCTAGATGGTGGTGGGTTTTTTTTTTTTGGCTTAATTGATATTATGCATCTGTTTAAAATTTAAAAATGTAAAAATAAGTGATCATTTTAAAATTGATTTTTGTCGGCAAGGTTGTACTATTTATTTTAGTTTTTATATTGCATAGATTAATGTGCACATATTTTACATATTTTGTTGTTAAAACTTTTTCATTTCATCTACTCTTTGAAAGATTTTGGGGGGGGGGGGGGGGAATTAAAATTGTTCACTTCTCAGCATTCAATTTCTCTCAAATTCAAATTCCCTCCATGTTCTCCCAATCATCTTCTAAATAATACAATTTCAATAAAAATATTTTTCCATGATAAATAATATTGAAATTATTTCCAACTGACTACAAAAATGAGCATAAATGATATACAGGTTTAGAATTTTCTTATAATTTTTTAGTTAAAATCCGGAAAAAGCCATATGTTGAATGGGAATGAAACAACTCGCAAATTTTGCCGAAAATGGAGACAATTTTTTTTTTTCCGAGGGGCGTATTAATTTTAAGTCATAACACTATCAAATTTACATGTAAGTTAAGCAGATCAAGGGCAGTTTGATTTGATTTCTATAATGATCATTGGGTGCTATGCCTGAATTAAATTAGAATTTGGACGGTGTCCGAAATTTATTTTCAATTAGATAACTTGGAGAAACAACAATTTACTCTACAAACAAATTTGGAGAAATTACAAGTTTTTTTTTCCTTTTTTAAAATGAAAGAAAATGTTAGAAGGCAAATAGGCAAATTCACCTTCACGCTATAAAAAAATTATTTACCACAACACTACAATTTTAACAATATTACTTGGATGCTACAAATTAAAATTCGATCCAATTAACACCAAATTCCAAAAAAATTTGTCAGAGACGTACACAAGACTTCTATTTAATTTTTAAAAAATTAAATATCTATCACATTCTCTCCCCAACCAAAATTTTTTTTGGTCAGACATGAAGCCAAGTACTATTTAATTTTTTTTAAAAAAAATCATATATTTGTATCATCTTTTCTCTAAGTTTTGATTAATTATTTGGGCAAAATTTAAATCATGCAATCCTTATTCTAACATCATTAGTTTTATTAAAGACTAAATAATTAATTGAAATACCTAAAAACTCAAACTATATCAAACATGAGGCTTTATATCATCAAGAAATCAAAAATCACAGAGAGTGTGTGATAAAAAAATTTTATTTAAAACATTTATATAACTTAAAAAGCTTGAGATCATATTCAAAGTATCTTATTATGAAACTTTATTTTTAAAATTTTGCTCGCTCTCTGTCTCAATTTTTCATTGTACATCACGTGAGAGGAAGAAAGAAAAAAAGAAAGAGGAAGTGATGCACGGCATTGCTTGCAAAAGGAGAAATGGGATTAGAAATAATGAGATTAGTTAGTGAGCCTCACGTTTTGGTATGCATTCTCTCTTTCTTCTTTGTTTTTTTTTTTTTTAATCTTCTTCCTTCTTTTCTTGTCAATAGTTAATAATCTATAAATAAAACCCCCCACACATACACTAATCCTTATAGTGCTTTTTTAACATCTTAAAAATTAAACTATGCTAGTGTATTTTGCTAAACACAATTTCTTTAATATTTATATGATTATAAAAAATTTTTATTTAAAAGAGTAAAAATAGAGATGTTACAATGATTTAGGCCATGTTTGGTATGATGGAAGAGTTTTTTAATGGAATCGGAATCGGAATCGGAATCGGAATTGGAATTGGAATTGAAATAGAATTGGATTTAAAGTGTGTTTGGTATAATGATGGAATCCTGATATAATTTTAATAAATATAAGTATTTAAAATAAGAAAAGACTAAAGTGTCCTTTTTAAAATTAAAAAAAATTATATTGGAGGAGAGAGAAGGGGCAAATTGGAGAAAAGGAACCATGGAATTGGATTCCATGATGCATATGATGGAATTGAATTCCATCAAATTTCCTTGAATCCTGATTCCAAAGAATCATAATTATTGCATACCAAACACACATGTTAACAGATTCCATATACAATTCCATTTCTTTCTCCATGATTCCAAACTACCAAACGGGACCTTAATGTCATTTATGATATCCCAATTGATATTTAAGGATCTACAGTGATTTAATATCATTCATAAAATAACTTAAAATATATTAACAATTTTATTATTTTTATGCATGATAACTTAATATTACTCATAGCATCTCGTTTAATGATGTTAGAGATTCATGGTGATTTAATCGGTTAATCCAAACATCTAATATTGTATTAAACATTAACATTTTAATTTCAATTGATTAGGAATTTCAATTGATTATTTAATTTTTAATGGAGCTAATAATTTTGGAATAAGGATTGCATGATTTAGATGCCCAAATAATTGATTAGAGCTTGGTTGAAGAGCGAGAGGATGAGACAGATATTTGATTTTTTTTAAACTAAATAGAAAGCTTCTATGTTCAACCAAAAAAAAATTGATTGAAGAGACAGAGAGGATGAGACAGATATTTGATTTTTTTTCCCTCAATAAAAGCCAAGTTTTATGTACGTCTCTGACAAAAAAAAAATAAGACCAAATTTTAATTTGTAGCATCTAGATAAATAATTAAATATTATTGAAAGTGTAGTACTGTGGTAAAAATTTATTTTTTTTTAGCATGAAGGTCAATTTGCCACACAAATAATATACTAACATATATCATTTTGATCTATAGAAAAACACTTGTACCGGTTCAGTTCATAAGACATTTTTTTAAGTATGATGAATATGAGACATTTTAGGTTTTAAAGATATAATTAATGAAGTTTTTCAAAAGATACTCTTAATTAAATATGTAATTTTAAAAATAATTAACCAATTGAAAACCGCAATTTAATTACAAGTATTTTATAATATGAACGAAGAAAGTATCTACATTATAATGACAACGTTAAATAATTTATTTCACCAACAATTCTATTTAAACTTAATAATAAGCATGTCCCTTGATTTTCAATAATAAGATGCTTTTCCCTTTTAGCTACATGAAAGTTATTGCCTCCCTGAAATTAATTATCAGAGATGTCTGCACGCTGCTTTTCTTGTTTCCATAAAATTAATATTAATACTAGAACTTAAAACTAGTCGCACTATTTATAAATATATATATATATATATATATATATAATGTTTCAAATTTCATGTAATACAACAACAACAACAACAAACTTTATCCTACTAAATAAAATTTAAACTTTGTGAACTACATGAAACAAATATTCAATTAAATTTTCAATTCAAGAGATAAAATATATATCTTTCCTGATAATTTCTAATGAATCAGAAAACGAAAGCACAAATTTCAATCCTAGCATAATGTGCGTGACTAAATATCAATGTCTTTAGAGGAAAGCACAGATTTCCATAGAAAAATGATATTTAGGACGTTCTGAAAACTTATGACAGGAAAAAAAAAAAAAGGATGTCCTAAAATGTAAAAACATAAATTACAATTAATGATTTTTTTTAGCAAAAAAAAATTCCAGCTAAGAATGATGGTCCTTTTTTAAAATTTCAAAATTTCAGAATCCTTAAACGTAAATAATATTAAAAGGGTCTTTAAATCTCATTCTCCAAATTTCTATCCTAGCATAATGGTGACGTGTACAGACCAACAACTTGAAAGATTCCCCTCATCAGAACTATTTTCTCGTAAAAAATATGATTGACTGTACAGATGATAAAAAATATGCAGACAAATTGGAAGTTTCAAGTTACAACAACAGCTCAGTGATCCAACTAATCTTTACTTGAACCAAAATCTCGATTTTTGCTATGAACTAATCGTGATTGTCTTTGGATTGCAACAACTGTTCTTGGACCCTAGCAACTAGCTGAGAAGCTTCCCCATCCAAGTTCAGGGGACGCCTCTGCAAACTCTGGAAACATTAAGATTTACCCAAGGTTGATAATCCACCAACATGATATTTATAATTTATATATTTCATAAAAGGGAATGATAATCCACCAACATGATTGATTATATACAAAATAAACATCAAAAGGAAGGATAGTTATTACCTCAGACGTCCACAAGGAATCATATGGTTCGCGAGGAATTATATGGATATGAGTCTGAAATTTCACATGTTCAGTAATAGAATTAGCCATGTTGAACATTCTAGTCTGAAAAAGAATTGAATTTGCATACGAATTGTAAATGTCTGATTCTTGAATAAATCATCTCACATGAAATATAACTTGCCCTGCGCTCCCATTGTTAACCAGCATGTTGAATGAATCTGCAGAATTCCAAACATCCATGAATTTGAAGTGGAATGATATGGTCAACTTCATAGACTCACAGTCCATAGGCCAGCTTCTTAATCTTGCAAAATAATTTCTTAACTCATTTCTTTCAAGTTTCAGGAAAATGTCAAAACATAATATATCTGATCATGAGATGAGCCTCATAAATTCCATTTTTCTATAGCGGACAGCTAGTTAAGATTGGAAATTATTTCATTGTCCTAGTCTCAATATGTAGTATTCCAAATCCAAGACAAAAGGGATAATATTGTATTTGGACATGGCCTGTCAAATATAGGCCCGCTAGAAAGGGAAAAACTAAATAAAGTCCACGACAGAAGAAAAGAAATTTAAGCGCATACCACAGCCAGTAGCTTTTTTTATGGCAATGCCAAGGAATGGCACTTTTGAACACATTGCAGCTACAACCTGAAACACAAGTCAATTTGGTAACTAAGATGGAATACTTTTTTTGCACCAAACGTTTTAAATTAAATTTACAGATCCTTTTCTAGCACTTTACCCAGGATCTGACTCTGGACTCTAAAAACTTGAAGAAAATGCAACAGTTATAGGAGAACAGTTATTAAAACTTGGACAAAAATAAAACCACGAATTTTTATAAATTCTAAACAAGGAATTGGTCGATTTTGGCCATGTTGTTATATTAATTTGAATAAAAACTGAAAGTTTGCAATTCTACAAAGCTCACAGATTTTCAGAACCTAGCTCCAGGTCACCAAAGATTTTTTTTTTTTTTTTTGCCACAAGAATTGGCACTATATTTCAAACAACAAATGTCAACAAAACACAAAATATGATGAAAGAATGGATTGGATTTTGTCTGGTTACTAGCCTTCTACTTCTGAAATTTTTCCTATGATCTCATCTCTCATTCTCAACGTTAGCACTAAGAAAATATTTATTATCACCGTAAAAGCATATACAAACCTTGATAAAAGCAGTCAGCAAAATATTAGAAACTTCAGTCTTATTAGACTTATTGATATTACTTACTGATGGAGGAGTAGCATCTAATGAAGGAAAATGAGATTTGGGGATTATGAGAGAGTGCCTGTAAAAAAGATAGAATATGAGAAGTTGATATTCAAACATGCCAAGTGGAACAGTCAATAAATAAATAAATAAATATTTTTAAAATTTTAAAGACCTGCAGGCATAATTGTTATTGTCTATTTGTTACCATGTCATGTTTCAGCATCTAATAAAGTGATTCCATTTCAACAAGGCCTGAACAATTTTGCTCTCTCACTGTCACACCAAAATGCACTCACTTACTTCCATCAGATTGTTTCCTTCTGTATAACCTAAACTGGTCCCCTATACCTTATCTTTTCTTGGTCATTCTTATGATTTACTGAATCAGACTGATCTACCAAGCATCTCCGTAAGAAAGTTATAAATTTCCCCAGTATAGATGGTGATGGTCAAAATGTTCATGAATGTCTGTCATCCCATGCTCAGTTTAGAACATGTTTTACTTCCCTTATATCTCCCATTTTACCTTACCTTCACTTTTTTGTGAGGCACCAAACAAGCCCCCCCCCCCCCATCTTAAGAGATTCAATGTTGGGGTCACACAGCTTAAAGGTCTCAGTTACGTTTTATATTTAACTATTAAAACCTACTTTAAAAGGATTTTTTTTTTTTTCTCCAAAAACAGAAGTTCTGAAAATCCTTGGCAGTTGCCAAAAATTCCAGATGCTTGACCATGTCAATTGAAAAATAAGGATATTTTTTGTTTAAAATTCTCCCTCAACCACAAAATTTTACTTCATTTTTCTTTCTATCATGCTGTCACCGGGCTTCTATTGATAAGAAATATCTGATCTATGAGTGCAGTTGGGTGAAGTCAGGCAGATGAACAGTTTTTTTTTTTTTTTTGGGGGGGTGTCTAGGCATCTTATCAACTTCCAATATACTACTAATGATTTCAGTATCACAATACAGGGAACAGCAATTATGTGCATCTTCATTCCTCCTTGCATGTCCAAATGCGCTTGTGCATAAACTTTTGACATAAAACAAAACAAGAGGGACAAGACTATGCGTCACAATATGTCTATTAATACTTGCTATTAAGATATACAATACCTTACCCATGACTCAGCGGATTCACGTCCAATATACATATGCAAAAGTCATCTTCATACAGCTGTCAATTTCAATAAACATTAGGAAAAGATAATCAAAGAAGGAGAAAATTTGTAGAATGTCCAAAACTATCAATACAGACAGCAAAGTTTATTTTTAGCATGGAGAAGTTCACAGAGCATTGTCCACAATGTTACTTTCTTTCACATCTCAACATTTCAAGTGTTCATAATGCAATTGGAAACTTGTAAATTTAATCTCCAAAATCATTGTAAGATGCAGGCAACAAAGAACCCATGAGCTTCCAAGCCAAGAGCCTTAATACTTCTTTAGAGCAGATATTAAATCTTGGCCACTTAAGAGTAAGACATGAATGAATGTTATACCAATAGCGTTTGTAAGAACCTTACAGTCTCTGATTTTTTAAGCAGGTCATGTGATCACTTCTCAAAGACATAATTATCCCCTTTATAATATTTAAGCAACTATGCGGGTCTGCATTCCAGTTTGCCATATCAATGACTGTTTGCCTATTCTTGAGAGAGAGTGAGACTGTTTCGTGTATCCTAAGAAGTTGGGTACTTGACCAGCACTTAAAGCAGCAGCAGAACGGCCCAAACAGGTGGCAAAAATAACCAAACCCTCAACACTCACAAGATTCTTGCACAAATATGTATATGAAAAAATTTTGAAATTTTATTCATTGCCAGAGAATCCAGTAGGTTCTACAAGTCTCTTTCAATCAGTTTCACCATTTCTTCACTCGATGCAATTTAATGCTAAATTAGAGCAACTACAATACCAGATTGCCCACAAGATATGAAAATTAGCATAGTTCCACAATTTCCTCAGCTACCAAACGACTAATCACGTATTGGCACGTATTTACCAAAACAAGACCCGCAAGACCGATAAGAATAAGAAGGCGGAAGAAAAAAAACAAAACAAAATTCCGACCCTTGAAAGCGGGTGATTCGCCACGGATTATCTTACAAAAAATGCAATCATGCTGCAACTTCTCTTTCTGCGTATCACGCAAAGAGGAAGAAGAAGTACAAGGCGAACCCGAAACCCGCAAACGCTGAAACGAACTATGATCGGGACTCGACCCAATGGGGCGAAGATGAGAACACAAAACGGCAAGTCTCCTTGCCTCCATGGAAGGCTTGAAGAGAATTGTTCCACTGGAGAGGGTGAAGGAGTATGCTTCGCAATGTGTGCTCTAGGAACGGTTGGATTTTGAATTTGAAAACCAGGCACACAAGCTTCGATCTTTCTTTCTTTGATTCTATTGATGATGGTCAGTTACATCTTACGAGTTGGAGGTTAGGATAGTTTACGGCTTATCTTATAGCACATACAGGTGGGTGGAGATGACGTAACCGAAAGCTTGGGCGATCATTGACTCTCGTATCCAAAAGAATTCGCTCCACATATCAAGATTCAAGACCGCGCTCTTCGCATTGATGGGACAATGACAGTGTCAGGAAAACAAGACAGATTCAAAGCTCAGTTCAGGATAGAAATAAATGTAGTAAAGCAGTAGCACTTCTTCTTCTCCTAGGTAGGTATCATAAAAATATTTTTTTAAAAGACTTGTTTTAATTTTTATTAATTTTTAATTCTAAAATTTTTATTAATTATTGATTGATGTTTAAAAAAGAGATATAATAATTAAAATCTATTAATCTATATAAAATGTTGATGACAATAAAATAATATAGATTAATCAATATAATTAGTTAAGTAAAAAATATTGAAATTTCAAAAAATAAATAAATAAAATACAGCATAATGGGTAATTTAATAAAAATTAAATTCAACATAAGGTTTGACATTATTCATTTTATTTTTAATTTTTTTCATGTTCCATCTAATTTTATACTTTTATAATTTTAACAACTAACATAAGTGGTAATAAAATTTATAGAACATTAGTAAACATTAAGTCCTTGTGATTCTAAAAATATAGGAACTAACACTCTATATATATATATATATATAAATCAGGACCCCTAAGCACAAGTGTTCGCATATTATGAAGCCAAATTAGCTCCATATTTTTCTACTGTGAAGACAAGTGTACGCGGGTTAAATAATTTTTCCATGATAAATTAGTATTCATTGTTTGAAAAATAATGCATGCATTTAATGTGTGTGGATGTAGTGAATTAATTTTGTGATTTTGGTTCTTTAATTTATGGAAAGGATAATTATGGAATAAATTTGTGAGGAAATTGAATTCTTGAATCTATTTATTTTGATTCATAATTTTAGGATTTCATATCATTAATAAAACAATCATAATTAATCACAATGATTTTCAAGATTGGAAACAATCATAATTTAATCACATTGATTAATATCAACTAATAAAACAATCATAATAAACAACTTTTTGGAGATTTCTCACGGTGATTTTGACCATTTTAGGTAGTTTAGGTAATTGGAAACTTTTTAGGTAGTTTATGGTAATTGAAACATTTTTTAATTGATTCAAGTAAATTAAATGATAAACGTGTATATTATGTAGTTTATGTTTTAGGTAGTTTATGATAATTGCCATTTATTTGTAGCTATTTCCTTATATGTATATTATGTGGCTATTATAAGTTTTTTTCTCACAAAAATCTATGTCATTATTACCATAAGATTCAAATTATCGTATTATTGTGCCACATCTAATTTGAATAGCTACAGCAAGTCTATATAAATAGTAGATACACCATTAGTCTTGTCTAATTTTTCAAAGCACTGTGCACGTTAAATATATTCCAAAGCATATTGTGGTTTGTCATTATTTGCCACTCAATTCATCATGGGTTTCCTACATTGATGTTCAATTGCTTTTGAAGCTAGAGCAATGTCACTACTCCTAATATATAAGCTATATGTTGTGAGGATGTATGAGGTTTTGTGGAAGGTTAGATCAACTGCGACGATTGAAAAACTTTAACTCCATTGTGTGTGATAGAAAGGTATAGTTTTTAATTTTAGCCCCAATAGTAATTTCTATTTATGTCTTATGCATTGCCACTGAATATTCTTTATTTTTGATTATTCATTATTTATCTAACCCTGCATCACATTTATTAGGGCAACATGCTACAAGTAAAGTCAAAATTTCCATGGGTTATACTAAGGTTTTCCCACACCTTACATGAAAAGCTTACTTATTCTTTTAGAAATCTTCTTATAATGATGTGCGTTCAACTCCATTTCAATTGGGTCCCAACTTTACTACCAAGAAGACACTACGTTTAAGCTGTGCATGGAGGACATTCCGTCATCTCACCACCATTAATCTTTAAACCTCTATTGGATGTTGCTATTATACCAATAGTTCAAG